TCTTGGGAAAACTTGGTGGTCTTTCTCTCTCAAAAACTAAAAGCTTTCTTGAGAAAAACTTAATCTCTAAAAACTAAAACACTTTTTAGATCTTTGCTTCTCAGAAATTTCTCTTTCTGTAAGGACAAAATTTGATTCACCTGGAACTCTATGAGAAAGTCCCCTGTGGTTTGCTCTAAGAAAAAACAAAAAGACCTCTTGGAACAAGGCAAATCTTCTCTGCTTAGCCCTGTCTCTCCAAGCTAGAGAAAAACAGTGGCCAGAGTTCCCTGAGGCAAGGGCCTGGTGAGACAGTACAGGCAGAAAAGGGAGCAGGGACAGACTCCTCCCTGAAAGGTGCAGGACCTGGGGAAGGCTGCCAGCATTAAAAGGGGTCTAAGTTCCAAGCAGCAGCTGCAATGGCAGCATGGGAAAAGCTGGGGCAGAAGCAGGGACAGAAGCTCCTACCTCCAGAAACAGTTAGCAGAGGAATGAAGCCACAGCCATTGTGAATCTGCATCTGGGGGAAGGAACAAGCAGGACAAGACAAAGCTCTATCAGGGGAAAGTCTCTCTGAAAGGGTTGTGGAAAAGCTTTATCTTAAGTACTTTTGTTTTCCCTCACTGACCCAGTAAGGTGGAAGAGCAAGCCCCAAGGGAATTTTGCTTCAGGCACAAAAGGACCTGCCCAAATATGTGCAACCAGGCAGGTATGACTTAGCTCCAGGGACATATCAGGAAAGAAAAACACCTAGCAATACCAGCTCAGGGACAATAGAAATCTCTCAATCTCTCATGATGAAAAAAACAAAAGCTTGACTCAAACCTCTCATGCTCAAAACATAAACTTGACGTTAGCCATGTAAAGGGAAACAGAAGTAGCATACTCCAGAGGAATTATGGGAAATGTAGTCCATAAGTTCATTCGTAACAGTGGGCCCATATAGAGAAATGCACTATGTAGTTTTTCAGATAAAATGGCAGTACTGCCCAGAAAAACTGGTTTTTTTTTTTAGCTGAAAGTGAAGTTTCTTTTCAAAGCAATGTTAGAAAGCTTAATCTTACCTCCTGAGAACTAAGAACAGGCAAATAGCCTGCCTCTAAGGAGATTATTAAAGTACTAATACTGTTTATCAACAAGCCATTTTGAAACCCTTTTAAAAAACAAGGGAAAATGGCCCTTACACTGAGAGATTTCAAGAGCTTGGAAGACTGAGTTGGGCTTAAGATTCAAGAGAAAAACATTGATATCATTAAAAAATGCTCATGGTAAACTTAAAAAGCAGCTTTAAAAAATTAAGAAGGGGGAAAATTGAGAGTTTGTTGAGTGTCAGCTCCAATGAAAGGCTGAAAAGAAATGGAGCTCGGAGACACAACACTTTTGTCTGACTAGCAGCAAATCAGTGCAGGTTTGAGATAGTGCCTAATAGCGGCGCAAGGAGATTTTGCTAAGAGCTTTATAGCCGCTCAATACAGTAATTTCACCCTCATCCTGAGGCAAGGCTTTTCCGTAGAGCGAACTGAAAGTGCTGCTGTAACAGAGACATTCGTCTGAATCATGGCACTCAGGGGAGCTGCAATGAGCTGGGTAAAGGACAATCCCTAGTTAGAAACCGTCTGCCACTGTGCACACTCCTGCCAGTTCCAGAACAGCTGAGAGAGCTCGATGGGAAAGGTGACTTTGGGGCAGTGGCATTGTCCCAAGAGTGTTACAGCCCCCTAGCAACAGGTGTTACAATTCCATAGCAACAGCACTCACTGAATCCCAGGGTTGAGGGAGCCATTGACAAATTAGGCTCTTGTTTCCAACTGTCAGGAGAACTTTCAGAATGATATCAAAACTGACTATAAACTCTGAACTTTACTATAAACTCTGAACTTTAGAAATGATTTTGTGTACTTCCCATCATGTTAATAGTTTAGCTAAGAAGCCTTTCCTAGATTTTAATTAAGAAAACTTTTCTAGATGTTAAGAAATCCCTTCTAGATTCTTTCTAGTGTAAGTTAGTTCTATTAAGAGATAGTTCTCTAGATATGTGCTAAAGTTTGTAAAATAGAGTTTCCTTATGAATATAAGTTTATAAAATAGTTATATAGAGTGTGCTTTTGAATATAGGCTCATAAGAAGTATAAATAAGTATATGTTGAATGTGAGTTTGTGAAAGGGTAAATGTTGAATGTAAGTCTAAATGTTTAATGTAAGTTTGTAAAATGTAAATATGTATAGTGATGTAAGTTTGTAAGAAGTGTAAATACATATAGTAAATAGCCATGCTAGATGAAAATGCATATAGTAAGGTTTATACTAGAATTATGTTGATGTTAATGAACCAGAGTTTGGTAAAGCTAAGGGAATCTTTAAGTTTGATGTAATTAATCTGATGTGGTTTGCATCAAGAGTTTATTGATTTAAAAAAGGGCTTGGCACAGCTAAGGCTGTTATAGACATCTTAAGATTCATTCCAAAAAAGATATGCCATCTCTTTCATCCTCTACTTTTGTACTGGGAGGTATGGCAGCTATGGAGATTGCTGTGGAGGTTGTAAACTCAATAGGAACTTGGGCCAGAGCTGCGTTAAGCTCAGTACCCCCTCCTGCCAGAGGCTGAGAGTCAAGGACAGGCAACTTTCTCTTGCCAGATTCCCAACCTAAGCTAGAGGGCACTTGATGGAAAGTGTACCTCTAAGACAGGTAAGAGTTGTCTGGCTGAAGGGGATGACCTAAGACAGACCCAGTCTATCTGAGGGGCCTGAGGGGCTCTTTAAAAAATTAAGAGGAGGGACCTGTGGGAGCCCACAAAAGCTTCCTAGTGAGATTTGAGCTTGCTTTACATAGCAGGGCGGCATTAGGGGATGGCTGGACCACATGCATGGTTACCAGGTGTCTGGGATGGTCTGCATTTGGCCGTGCTGGGGGAAGGTCTTTTGCTCCACCCCTTAGCATTTCTTTAAAAGCCCAGTTAGTAGAGACATAAGGATCTGGTGGGTTTGGATCCAGGCCCTCCTGAAGCTATCCTGTGTTTCTAACTGTCTCTCTCTCCTCTATACTTCTATCTACATATTCCTTATTTCTCCCTGCTCAAGAGTACCCTGGGGGGAAAAGAGGAAGCTGGTTTCCCTCACCCACTTTCAACCCAAGGTCACATTTGGGGTCAAAAATAAACATTTCGTAATGTCTTTTTCCAAGCAGAACTGTAAACCGTCATTTGGCTAGTACAGGCTAACAATCACAATCAAAATTGTTTTGTCTTTTTAAATCATTTATTCAAAGTCAAATTTTACCCCTGAGACAAACAAACAGATTCCCCTCATAATAATTATAGTGTGCGTTTACAAGCTGCTGACTGAACGCTTTGCTCAAAACTACGCTGTGTGTTAATGCTGTGGTCAACCTTCCTAGCTCTGGAACCCACTAAGAGACATACTGGGCAAGTCTGCCTGCCGGGGTGTTTCCTGGAAAGCTTCACTGAGGGAGGTAAACCTTCCCTCACGGTGGTCAGCAATTCTCCCGGAAGCTGCCCAGATGCAGAGGTCCGAGGGAAACAGGCTTTTGCCTTTCTGCCTTCACACTGGCTGGCAAGCCCGTTCATTCTTTTTTCCCCACTATTGCTGCCGTCCTTTATTGACTTGGGAATCCATCTTCTCCAGTCTCCAACATGTACTGAAGACCACATGCTCTCCAGGAATTCTCCAGGCCTTCAGCACCAGACCGAGGACTCATGGACTGATTACAGTCTCCAAAATGCAGACAGCCATTGTTGGATTTTCCAGCCAGTAAGGCAACCTAATAAATCTCCTTTGATTGCATATAGATAGATAGATAGATAGATAGATAGATAGATAGATAGATAGACAGACAGACACACACACACACACTCATCCCATTGATTCTGTTCCTCTAAGAAGCCTGACTCAGGCATACACTAAAATAAAAAGAGGTTATTATCCTCATTTTGTAGCATGAGCTCAAGAAGTTTAGTTACTTGTCTAAGGCCCCACAGCAAGCAGAAGAGAGCAGGCGTCAAACAGGAATGCCACGCAGCTAAGCCCGTGCTTCTAATCTGTTAGGTCATCTCTCTTAGATACAGTCTAACGGGAAAATAGCACCTAATTCAGTCGGTGTATTTCAAATGAAAAGAAAGGCAAAGTATTCTTTTTCATCAGTTTTACTTAATTCAAGAAGTAGGTGGCCAGGGCTGGAGAGATGGCTCAGTGGTTAAGGGCACTGTCTGCTCTTCTAGAGGACCTGAGTTTGGCTCCCAGCACCCAAGTCCAGCAGCTCAAAACCATCTATAACTCCAGTTCCAGGGACTCTGTCACCCTCTTCTGAATTCAAGGGAATCCATACACACAGGGCATATGTTTACACAGACACAAACATACACATAAATTTTTTTAAAAAAATCTTTTTAAAAATATAGGAGCTGGAGAGATGGCTCAGTGGTTAAGAGCACTGGTTGCTTTTGCAGAGGACCTGAGTTTGATTCCTAAGTACCCACCAGACAGCTCACAACCATTTATAACTCCAGTCTCAGATATGACACCCTCTTCTGGCCCTCACAGGTACTGCATGCACAGGGTGCACATGCAGGTCAAACATCCATACAAACAAAAGAAAAAAATTAAACTAAAAATCCAAAGAGACAGATGATCTAAAGCAGTTTTTCCTCCTACTCCTGTGCTGGGGATAAAAGCAGGGTAGTCAAGTGCTCTACTGCTGAGCTGCATCCCCAGCCTTCAGAGCAGTGTTCTCTGTTTCCTCGGCTTATTCTTTCTCTAATAGAGAACAAGAAAAGACTAGCATGAGTCAGGGAACTTATTCTTAGATGCAGTAAGGGCTGGGAAAGACGCCTGCGCAGTCATGCATGCACCTTCCCGGACACCATCCCCCGGACAAACCCCAAGTCTCCACTGCGCAGATCCTTGACTAGTGAACCGACAAGCACATTCAAATTCCAAAGTGGTCGGATTGGGATTTTTAAAGCTATTTTCTAAGTGATTTAAAGGCAAATAGAAAGAGAAGTCTTAAAAATGCATATATTTCCATCTCACATCTCTCATAGCAGAAAATATATATATTCATTTTTCCATAATATCTAGAAAAGGAAGAAATGCTTACTTCTTTCAAAAATGCTTAGGCTATTCACTAAAATCAGTATTTTTTAAATGCTCCACATGTGTTAACACTGAGAAACGGCCATGCTTTTACCACTTCCCGGGAATGAGGGAGGCCTGACTCCCCAGATCTGCCTTTAGACTGTGTCATGTTAGAAAGAGGGCGTGGGCAGGGGCTCTAGGGGCGTGTGGTGACTCTGGATTCGCTTCAGAAGCTGCTGGGCCACAGGTTTGAATTCTGTTTCCCAGTGGAGTCTGTGATAGCTTCTTAGGTCTTGGTCAAAACTGCCATCCAGGGCCAGTTCTTCATCTGTATCAGGAAAAAAAAAAAATCAAAATTAGAGCAATTACATGGAGCGTGATCACACTGAATAGAGTTTGTTTCCCATGGGAGGAGACTTTTCATTCAGGGTCATCGTTAATGCCACCATGACTGGACATGACCCAATGACACACCATGTGATTTAGGATTAAAACACATGTATTTATTTATTTATTTGGTCTGTGTGTTTTTGAGATAGGGTCTCCTATGTTGCCTAGGCTTCTGCTAATCTGTAAACTCCTGAACTCGTGATTCTCCTGCCTCGGATATCCCAGGAGAGGTGACCACAGGCTCATACCACTGCACCCTGAGAAAGAAAGCTATTTTAATGAGCATTCTTTTGAACTTTACAAATAGTTAAGAACAATGTGTGTGTGTGTGTGAGTGTGAGTGTGTGTGTGTGTGTGTGTGTGTGTGTGTGTGTGTGTGTGTGTGTTTACTCAGTCTTTTTTTGGTTATTTTTATTTTATTATTATTATTACTAATATTTCTGGGTGTTCCCCCTGTTGTAAGCCTGTGCACCACATACATGTCTGGTGTCTGTGGAGGTCAGAAGAGGCGACTGGATGCCCTGGAACTGAAGTTAGAGATGGTTGTGAGCCTCTGTGTGAATGCTGGAAATTAGGACAGTGCCTTGGAATTTTAGAACCTCAGCATTCAGACTCTGGAATGCTAAGTGCTGGGACTGCTAGCATGCACCAGCACACCTCTGCAAGCTAGCATGCACCAACATGCCCATGCAAGCTAGCATGCACCAGTATGCCCCTGCAAAACAAGTATATTTTAATGTCTCAATTTAAAAGGGCAATATTTTGTTGTTGTTGTTGTTTGGGGAAAAAAACCCTCTTAGACTGAAGTGAGCTTCTCTTTCAATAATTTCCTAAGTTTCACACTTCTGTTTGCATCCAAAAGTCAGTAACAATTTCTCAAAATAAATGAAGACTAGATAGATGTGCTTTAGAAAGGCTAATTACTTCAATGATAGAGAGGAATCCATCGGGAAAATGGGTCAATTTGATACAAAAGTCACTCTCCGACCCCACACTTCCCATAAAAAAAATGGGGGATGTTAGAATCCAAAAGACTGAGTCCCCAAAGAGAACATAAAAACTGCAGAAAAGCACTTGTGAAAATAAAATGAAAAATAAAAGTTTAGTTTGTGCAACCCAGAGCACACTTAAGTATCTCCATCCTGCGTGGAAAAACACATGGCCACAGTCCTCATGAGCCGCCACCTCTTTCCGTCCCTACTGGCCTCACTCACACCCTAGGCGACAGACTTCTGGAAAGTGCGCTGGCTCTGCCATCCCTAGCTCTGTGGCCTGAGGTGGACATCTTACCTGGCGGCCACTAAGTCCCAAGATGACCACAAGTCCTGTTACTCACACATGCACCATGCTGTAGGACCGATCAGAGCCCGTTGAATGGCGCCTGCTGCTCCGATTACAGTTTCTGCACCAGACATTTGTGTCTGCTCAGTGTGTACTTGGCACCAAGGGTGGAGTGGCATCAGCGTTAGATAAGGGACTGTCCCCTCCCCTCCTCGGGATCAAGTGCAGAGTTATGCAGCTCTGAGATAAGTTCTATGCAGACACCAGCACTCCAGCCAGACCTCTATGGAGACCTTGTAAGCAAACCTGGCCCTCTCCACGGCTGAGATAACCCAGGCCTCGAGCAGGGAGGGTGTGGCCAGTGTTCCATGCCTTCAAAGGCCTTCCTGTCTGGCTTCTTCTGGACAAGAAGAACCTGCTAGACAGAGTGACTCCAGATTTCCAGACCATCTTCCTGTTTCCTCTTTTCTAGATCTTTCTGAGCACTGAACATTTGTTGGCAGAGTCTGTGTTCTGTTCTCCTTTCCCAAGGTGTTAGTTCTAAGCAGCAGGACCCTTTACAATTCCTTCCTCTGCTAGGGCTATGGATGCATTTGGTGGTTTGGCATATTCTCTGTTTGGGGGGCTTTTTGTTTGTTTTCTTGGTTGGTTGGTTTGGTTTTTCAAGACAGGGTTTCTCTGTGTAGCTCTGGCTGTCCTGGAACTTGATCTGTAGCCCAGGCTGGCCTCGAAATCAGAGATCTGCCTGGCTCTGCCTTCTGAGTGATGGGAGTAAAGGTGTGTGGCACCACCACTGCCCAGCCAGTGTTTGGTTTTTAATCTAATGTTAATGTTAGCATTCTGTTGCCCTTGAGGCCCAGCCAATATAGAAATTAATTATCAGTAGTCAGACCATATTAACTCCAAGTCAGGACAGACAGGATAGAGATAGTCAAATAACTGCCAATAAGAAAAATGCAGGAATAAAAAGTGCATTAAAAAGGGGTGCGTCTCGTAGGCGTTAGAGTTCTGAGCGTGTACTGCAAGGAGTGGCAGAGACTGATCCCCAGAAAATGCAGATCCACCAAATGTCCCGTGACCCGCAGGAAGCAGTAGTTCTTGTTCCGTGACTCTCTACATACTTATTCATACAAATAACAAATAAATGCTACCTTTTCTATGTGCAATGATATATCTGGTATTTTCTTTGCCACTTCAGTTTTTTACATTTTTATTTTTTGCTTTTAAATATTTATGGTTATAATGGATTCAGTTGACTTCCTAGCCACAGTGTGAATTGCACTGATCTTGATAACCAGGCATTCTTATGCTTTCTCTATGCACTGTACATTTCCAAATATTAAAACTTAGGGTGAGGTATTACAAAGGATTGAAAGACTTAAAATAGTCAGTGCCCCAGTGTCACCATGCACAGAGAAGCAGTGCTCCGGTGCTGCGGTGCCCAGTGAAGCAGTGCTCCAGTGCTGTGGTGCCCAGTGCTGCGGTGCCCAGTGAAGCAGTGCTCCAGTGCTGTGGTGCCCAGTGAAGCAGTGCTCCAGTGCTGC